CATTTCCTCCTCTCCCAGTCAATCAATTTTCACTTCCTCAGTATCATTTCCCTCTTGTTTCATTCAATCTCAAGCCAAACAAGCAGGCAAACTTTCATAAGCCTGCAAAGGGCCATTTAAAAAAAGCCACACCGGCAACATTGGCAACAAGAATTCCAACAGTTCCTTTCCAAAGAGAACATTGGTGAAAAAGCAGTATTCTGAGAGTAGGTAATTCTTCATTACTGACTACTACTCTAAAGGGTCAGAGGGATTTAAACCAGAAAAGGCATCCTGCTGAGCACTAGTGTGGAATGTGGAATATTAAAATCATTCAACAGTTACAAAGACAGGAGCTGTTGCCCTGTACTGTTTTTTCACTGTGTGTACTGGCATGTCTGAGATTGGTTGCTTTTTTTTTCCATTGTCTTTACAACAGGCATTTCAGTTTGAAGGGTGTGTAGGAAAGTGAACTTTCAAAACGTTAGTCATCTGTAAAGTTACAGTATTCTACTTTCAACAGGATGTGAAGCAAAGTTTTCCAGAATGTAGATTCTGTTACACAGGGATCAAAAAGGGCTCACCTACAAGAGGATGATGTGGGCATTCCAGTTAGCCAGAAATCCCATTAAGGACCCCTGTAAAAGATACTACTTTTGACATAGTTAATGAAATAATCATTGGAAATCCTGTGAACTGTGTGCAGTGTTTCTTATTCGAAGCAGAGTATGATTCACAGTGTTGACCTTAAGGTACACAACACTAAAACCTCAAGGAGAAAGTGTGGTATTTTTCCACATTTGCCCACCAACTTTTAGTTTTGTCTCTGTTATAATTAAAATGATGTATTTGGAGACCTTTATCATTAACACAATTTTTGTTCTTTCCACTCCTAAAATTTCAAGTGGAAAAGGAAAGCTTATGTTTACTTTTTTCATTTAATTCTTAATAAAGAGATTTCTTTATTTGAAGCATCCCCATTTTCTGAGCTTTAGATATCTATGAATCAATATTTATAGAATTCAAGCCACTAAAAAATAGAGAGAGAGAAAAAAAAGGGGACGTATGGGAAGTAGCTAGGAAAGAAGAGGAAAAAAATTGCACAGCACTGTGATCCCAAGAGCCCTGCGCTTTGCCAAGCTTCATCAGCAGACTTTTTCATAGCAGGACTTTGCTACCTAGTAAAAATCAGTTGCTTTGTTTTTAGCCAAGGTTTCAGTCTAGAAGGAATCACACTTTAATTTAGAATTCTCTCATTTGTTATCTGCTCTGAGCTAAATTGAAAACTTTGCAATGATGTAAAAAATAACAACTGCTATTCTGTACCACTGATATATCAGAAGGAAAAAAGCTGTCTCTCAGTGCATACAGCAGAAGTCTCTCCTCAATGTTTGCCTGTTTGCAAACATTGCTTCAGATAAATTTACTCTAGATCTGGGAAGAGTTTTGGGTTCTCATTTTGTTTAAGCCCCACTTATGTAAACACAGTATAAAGGCCACTACCACATTTCTCTTGCATACACAAGTTCAAGAACTGCCCAGCTCTTTAATTATCCCAGAAAAAAAAAAAAAATGGCTACAAGGAAGTTGAGATTACTGAAGGAACTTGAAGCAGACTTTCAAAGTTGAGAAAATTTCAAGTTAATACCCAAAAGCCCAATATTGCCTAGCATGCTGACAGCTGTCAGTGACTTACTACAAAGCCCTTAAAAGACATACCAGGGATGTAGTACTGCAAGCTCTTACCCATGATACAACTAACTCATTTTGCAAAAAAAAAAAAAAAATCCTTAATGAGACATCTTTAAGAACAATTATGTATCTTATGAGCAGATATGATAATCTTACAGCAACTCTTTAGTTTCCTGTAGCTACTGTTCAGTGTTGATCCAGCTGATTTCTGTCAGTAGCTAGAGATTAATAATGGACTGTTAATTAGCTATGTCAGCTATATGAGGTACTTTGCACCATTTAACACTAGTCTTCTCTGCCCTCCAGTTTCACCCATAGTTTAGGTTCAGTTCATGTCATTTATTCACATGTGAAAGTGTAATAATACCTGTGTAAATGTTGATGTAGCATCTCTGCTTTCATCCCCATCCAAAGAAGAACTGCCAGCAGCTTCAAAAGGCCTCAGACTTACCAGTGCTGGAACCTACACTGTGCAGCTGTAGTCTGCAGGGGTGGCAGCTATGACACCCACAGTCTGTTCCACCCAGCCCAGCTGTGGCAGGAGAGGACACTTTGAGATGCAGAAGACAAGTGTGAGGTTGGTAGCTAATGGTCCTACTCTGGGAAGCAGCTGAACCAGCAGGACTTACCTCCATACCTCCATTCCTTTAGTTATACTGTCCCAAACTGTCACAGTCGCTTCCATAAGAGAGATCTACAGTAAGATACTGTGCCACAGGTAACAAGGAAAAGAAACAGCAAATATAGATGTCCTTATATATTCAAGTGTTACAAACCTGTTTGCTGGTACTTGGATGCTTTTATATTGTCCAAGTGTATGTTCAGTCAACTGAGACATCTTCCTATGTCTGTACTGTTAATTTTGTCTTTCTGTATTTAAAGCAGTAAAAGGGACAGCACCTCTTTAGTATGAAATGTCCCAAGGGATTTCTGTACCTCAACATATATTTCAGATGTACTTTATCTCTGTTTTAAAAGGAGACCCCCCAACACATTTCCAGAATAGTCAACCCTTCCACCCAACCAACCATCACCGACCCAGCTTTAAAAAAAGACATCTGTTATTTATGCCCACCCTACTACCAGCTTCTCAGGCACTCTTAAAGAACTGCACAGTGAAATAACTGGGAGAGCTCAACAGCCAGCCAGAAAAAGTGAAAGGCTTCTGGCTTCAGCAGAGAAGTACTGAGGAAATGCCCAGATACAGCCCACATGACTGAATTATTCTGGTAGTTAGTTGCATTTGAGATTAGGTTTACAAAGTCTCTTTTCATGGACAAGGGTTGATGCAAGGATACATTCTGCAGGCTTTCTGCTTTAGACTGATAGCAGTCAGCTTCAATCATTTACCTGCACTGATGCAGAGCCATGCATGGACACGGGTCTGTTAACTTCTGCCACTCTCGCCAGTCCTGCTGTGGGTTTGGCAAATGCCTCTTTAATGAAACAAGGGCAGGTTAAAATCGATTAATGTGACTTGCCCCCAGCACCCAGGGGAGGGGACAGTTTACAGCTGTCGATGCAGAAGGGCAGGTGCACCTAAATACACTACAATGGTTCAGTTGGCATGGCTGGTCTAGCTGAAAGAACAAGGAATGCTTTTGCACCTTGACCTGAGTATTACCTGCTCTAAGGGCATCTCATGCACCACTTGCAGCTTCACTCCTTGTGAAAGTCTCAGAATTTGGTTTCTCCAAGGTTTTACCACAGGAGATGAACTGCATAACTTGTAACACAGTTTTATTAAAAGCAGACACAAAACCTGGTAGGTTGGCTCAGTTTTTCCAAAAATGAGTGCACATTAGGACACATCAACACTAAATTTGGCTAAACTGAAAAATCATAGAAGATAAATTGTGGAACAGCTGTAAAATGATCTTTCATTATAACAAAACTAGGAATTCATGTTTCATTTTTTTCTGTCAAACTGTTCACAGTTTAGCACAAACTAAAAAGCTAGCCTAATCCCTTCTATTAATCTCAGACTTCTTCCTCCTTTGCACACTCAGATGAGGACATGAAAAAATGAAAGTATGTACTTTTTCTTTCTTCAATGCCAATAAGGAAACAAAATGCATAACTACTTTTTTTTTTTTTCCTGGATGAAGTCTCTGAAGTTTAGCCTATTGCCTTCAGGTTCATATACATTCTGTATAACTCAAGGTGTATTAAGTCAAGACAGTAATCTCCTTAGCCCTCCTTTTTAGCTAATGGAAGAATAAGTTAGCAATGCAATGCTGAACAGCTTCTCATCCAGTGAGAATCCTGAAGTCGGGCTATTCTGACATACCAGGACTGTACTGCAACAGCTGTAGCTACACTCAACACAAGAGTTGTTTGTGCTTTTGCAAACACTACTAGTCACACAAAGAAATGTTGGTAAGAGGGCCAACTCAAATACTTAGCATCAGACATGAATTTATGTTAAGAGCTCTCAGAAGCCATCTCTATCAAATATTACTCTTTAGGAGAAGGGATGTATGTTTAGATACAATTTTCTAAAGAACTAGTCAAGCCATTGCATGATCAGCAAGCCTCATGGAGTCTGCTCTTCTACCAAGTTCTCCACTTCCCCCATAACCTCGGCTGCTTTCACATGCCTCTGTTCTCTCCTAAGGTTCCCAGAACACTTCCTCCTCCCTTCTCCTCTCACTTGTGTCACCATACTACTGATTTAGGGTTGCTTGGCTTGGAGCTGCTTGCATCCTGATCCACAAGCATGGTAACAGCTGAGACTTTTCAGTTTAAGCAAAAATCTGGATGTCTGTTAGGAGCTACTGGCCACATGAGGTTTTCACATATCTTCTGGAAAGGAAACAGCTTCAAAGAATTTTTAGATACACCAAAATCCCACAGTCTAGCTTGCTGCTGAAACTTCCCTTTACAGTAGCCACCAGCTGTAGTTAAGACACATTACAAAATACCTTAATCCTAAACCCTTTTTAATTAGGTGCTGACCTTTACACAGTGACTAAAACTAGTATTAGCCTTTCCAGGGTCAGAGATATTAAGCTGCACAGAAGTAAGGTCAGTATACTATTTTAAGTTAAGCAATGCCACTCTCCCAGGCCCTTATTTAGACATATTTGTCTACAACTAAAATTGTTGTGTCTTCATTTACATTGACATGAGTTATTAGAAAGTAGCTGCCAAAGAAAAATGTTACTGTTTTGCAAACAACTTTACTGTATTTACTGTTTTCCATGTCTCACTGCTTGAGTGCTAGACAGCATCAAACATCAAGATAATGAAAAAAACCCATCACAAACCAATAGACAGTTTTGACAGCCAATATGCACCTAAGTATGTAGCATACAGGAAGCAATTCAGAGCATTCATGGGCTCTTTTTATTTTGAAAAACTAAAGCTTACAGATTCTCAACTCATAACCATTTAGAGAGACAACCACAAAAAGTGTATTAATAAAACCCAACAGGCTTCCAGGCCTCTTAAATTTTTCAAACATAAAGTACAAAAAAAAGATACCACATGTTACATTACAGTCTTGCTGCCTTACACACCATCACAAAAAGTGAACAAACACATTCAGTAACTTCAGGCATACCACTGAAAAGATACCAGTAAGTGCTCCAGTTTTCTGTACCATACAACTTTATTTCAGTCACATCTTTCTAGGCAATGTATCCAAAATATTTGACTCAAGCATACCTTTAGACTGCAAATATACTGAAATAGGGCATCAAATCTTTCTTACTTCAAAAAAAAACCAAACATTAAGTTTTAGGTCATATTATAAAAAGTAACCATGTGGAATGTGACAAGTCATAATGTGAAATCAAAGTGCTTTATTCCCATAGCGCAGAGAGACACGAGTGGTTATCCAGCCATTCTTTTGTATATCTCAAACACCAGAAGAGATATTTGCTCTGTTGCAAAGACCTTTGGACCGTTATGGTGAAATTTCATGAACTGACAGCTAAACAGTATCAGTGGACCAGCAATTTCACGTTGATACTTCAAATAATGATGTAAATGAGGCATCTTTTCATAATTTTTCATGTTCCCTTAATAATTTGCAAAGTTCTACTGTATTATGTAACATTATATTCCAGTTCATCTCTTAAAATCCAAGATATGCTCTATTTAAAACCCTAAAGTTATTTCCCTAGAACCTAATAGCTGTTGAAGACTTGGTATTTTTGTGCAATTCTTTGCTACTTGCATGTGAAGAAAGAAACACTTCACCCAACAGCCTGTATGAAAGAACTATAAACTCTCAAAGCAGAAAACAACTTTAATAAAGTTTGGACATCAGTAGTTGCATGGAATATGTGCTCAATTCAGATGTGCCCACACTGAAGAATACTCACATTTTAAGTGTTCAGTCAGAAAACTTCCTTCCTACAGAAGTCTAAAAACCTATTTATCCTGCAGAGAAAAGTTTAAGACATAAGCATCTAATTATTTTTCTGTTACAACAGAATTAGCTCTACATCATAATATGTATGATTAACCCTCCCTCTTTCAGACACCCCACTGTACAGGAGTACAGTTTAAACAGGGAGGACTGAGGGAAGATTTCTGGTCCTGTCCCACAGACATAAAGAAAAAGTGCTTTGCAAGACTGATTTTATCCATTGCATTTGAGGCAACCAACCCAAAATGAAGGCACATGAAATCTATAACATTATAGCTTATAAATTGTAAACTAAAGCTGAACCTCTCTATAATCTCTAGTCTTTTTGCACAGAAGTAATGACCAGCACCTATGCAGAGGTTCTGTATTATTTTTAACGCAGCTTTTTCCAGAAATAGTTAAGTGTTGCTTGCATGCCTGTGCAAACACTGTCATTTATTAGGTCTTGACATGAAGTGCAGAAACGTTGTTTATCTGCATGGAAAGTCTGATGCCAATGCATCAGTAGCACTTCCTTCCCGTCGCTACAAGAAATGTAAGTCACTAGCAACAGCCACAGAGAGCCAGCTGTTACCTCAAAAGTGCACACTCCCAGCAGCAGTTTTCCTGTGAGGTGTTCTACAGCTTGTGGCATGCATTTAATCAGTGTTTCAAATTTGGATTTTAACATGTCAAAGCCTATTACTTTTGGTTAACTACAGGCCAGGCACGCACATGCACCTAAAGGAAGCCAACTCAAAACGTGCTTTGACAAATGCTGCATTGAAACTGGCCATACTTTAACGACTAAACACAGATGAGCTGCTACACTGAGCAGCATTCAGGATCCAGGGTCAGCTCAATACCTCAGCTCTTAAGGAAAGCTGAATATGGATATAAATCTGCCTCCTAGATTTCACTGGAGCTGCTACCTTTACAGCAGAGAAACAAGATTCAAGGTTTCCGAAAGCTTTAGCAGACGGATAGGCTCGTCAATCAGATTAAGACTTACTAGGCTGTCAAACAACAGTTCAAAGCCTTGGCTATCACTTCTCTAGAAATATACGTTTAAAAGAACTCAAACACCACTGCCACCACTTAACTAGAATATATAATTACGCTGCTTCATTCAGAATGATAAACAGGGATTGAGTTTTGGAGCTCTAGTTTTTCACCCTACGAATGAATTCACACACCTTCCTTTTTTTTGTTTTCTTCCCCTTTTTTCTCTATTTCCGCACAGTGTAAAGTGATGGGATTGGCACACAAGTTACCAGCGGACACAGACCCGTAGCTATTACATTACAGAACCATATTAGAGTTTCATGAAGATTTCATGCAATGGTGTCTTGGTGTCTGCGCCCTTTTATTCTAAAAGAGAATGACTTTCACAGGTAACACATACAACACGATTTTCTGATTTTTAAATGCAGTGAGTTACACAAAGAACATTAACATGAATTGACCAGACTTAATAACCGGAACTGCGCTAGGTCTGGCACTTGAGAATTCACAGTGATTAAAATAAAATTGCTTTGCCTAAGACAAAACATAAGATACCAAATATATATAAAAACTCTTTGCTTCTATTATCTTGTATTAGTATTCCAACAGCAATAAGCAAGCTCAGTAGTACCTCAGACAGCAAAGACTTCTGCACGTGGTTAACTTTATTCATTGCTTGCAGTGCAATGGATTATTACTTTTTAAAATAATATATTCATGATGTCAAATTAAGCAATTTTCAATGCATAAAGTCAACACAGGCTCAACTCTTTGATGGATTGAAGCTTGGATTCTGACAGGAAACCATTCTGTACCATCTCATTTTGTGTACCCAACTCCACACTGTGCCAGGTGGTATTGCTGTTAAAGAGAAACTTAAGGTATACTTGTATATTACTGAGGTGTTCTTCTGTCATAGCAAGTTGTTTGATGATAGTTTATAGTACCAGTTGATAATGTAAGAGTAAAGCATTTGTACTTTTCTTTCCCCCACTCACTGCACTAATCCTAGCAGATCCACTAACACAGGTTTACGATCCCAAAGCCTGCTTTTAGAGAGAAAGGAGGACAGCTTTTAAACACCCCAGTGTTTCTCAACCCACCCACTGCCTCCCATTTCAGCACTGAGGGCCTGGCTGAAGCAGCTGCTCCCAGGAGCTGTGAGCTCCCAGAGCCCTGCTGGGCTCACTGCCCACACCGAACTGGGAGTTAAAGCAAGATACTCAGGACCCTTCTGGCGGAGTCCACGAGTGTAGATGAGCACCCACTCGTACCTGCCTCACCTTCTGTGCTACACCTGAGGGCACTCTGGTCCGTGCATCCACCTCCCAGACCTCCTGCTGCCTGGCCTTATCCAAACACATTGGACTTCGGCCTGAGCTTGAATGATGATTTCAGGGATTTCTCCTCATGCTCTTCCTCCTCAGCGTCACCACGAAAGGAGGGCGTGTTGTGGATGATCTGAGTCCTGAAGCGGATCTTATTAAGCCGAGGCTTCATCCGTCCGCTGCCAGAGGCTTTCCTGGACATCTCCTTGCCTTTGCCCGGCACCGCTGCCCCATCGGTACCTTCAGCTTCCTCCCCAGTGCCGTGATGGTGGTGGGAGAGCCGGTAGTTCATGAGATTAGTTGGCAACACCTTGGAGAGCCTCCAGCGCCCGCTCCCATTGCCAGCATTCCCTTCCTCCTCCTCCTCCTCCTCCAGGGCCCCCACGAGGTTCCGCATGTCCCCCGAGGTGCCCTGCTGCAGGTATTGCGCGGCCTTGCGCCCGCTGTAGTCGCGGATGTCCACGTCGGCGTCGTAGGCTCCCACCAGCAGCTTCACGACCTCGGCGTGGCCGTGCATGGCGGCGATGTGCAGCGCCGTGTGCCCGCCGCTCGTGCGGGCGTTGATGTCCACGGGCAGCCCGTGCCGCTGGGCGAAGTTGACCAGCGTGGCCAGCAGCTCCTGCCGCCCGTGCTTGGCGGCCCAGTGCAGCACTGTGAAGCCGGTGATAAAGTCCCGCTTGCAGAGCAGCGCCGGCTCGCAGCTCAGCAGCCCCTCCAGGCTCTCCCACCGCCCGTCCGAGGCCGACAGCATCCAGGCGTGCTCCAGGGGGTCCAGTGCCACGGAGCCGGTGGTGCTCCCCTCCTCCTCGGCGGAGGACGAGGCCACCGAGGCGCTGTCCGAGTCGCGGCCGCGGCCCCCGCTGGGGAGGGCGCCGCGCTTCAGTTGAGGGGAGCTGCCCCGCGCCGCCTCCCGCAGGCTCCGCCGGCCGCCGCCCTGCGCCGCCGCCCCGGGCGCTCCCTCCGCCGCCCCCGCCTCGTCCGTCGCCGGGGGCCGCCCCGGGCCCGTCGCTATCGCGGTCTCCTCGCCGCCGCCGCCGCCTTCGCCGCGCCCGGGAGGTGGCCCCCGCCGGGAGCCCCTCCGCTGGCCTCCAGCCACCGCCGGGCTCGGCCGGGGCGGTTCGCCCCGCTGCCCCGGGGGCTGCGGGCGGCTGCCGGCATCCTCGCCTGTTGCCGGCGGCGTCTCCTCAGCGTCTGCCCGTGGGGAGGGCGGAGGGCTCGGCTGCTTCGCGCTGTTCTCCGCCGCCGGCTCCTGCTCCCCGGGGGTCAGGGGGGCGGCGGCAGGGGGCTCGGGAGCGCAGTACCGGCGGCGGAGGTGCACGTACTTGACGCCGGTGCCGGGCTCCTGGCGCACGGTGGCCACTGCGTTGACCAGCTCCTTGAAGCGATGCCGGGCGGCGGCGCGGCGGGAGGGATCCGCGGGGTTCAGCCAGTCCCGGAAATGCTCCAGCAGCTCGGCGTTGCGCGCCCGCCCGCCCCGCGCCGCCAGAAACAGCACCACGGACTCTTGCTGCAGCTCCGCCGGCTCCGCCATCGCCGCCGCTACCCCATCACGGCGCTCCTCTTGCTGCTACTGCCGCTGCTGGAGATGGTGGTGGCAGTGGCGGTGCGGGCGCGGTACAGCCGCCGCTGCCCCAGCCCCTCCTCCCGGCGGCAGCATGCCCGGCAATCACTGCCGCGGCGGCGGCACCGCGCCGCCCTCCGGCCGGGAGGCGCCCGCCAACAGCGCCCGCCCCGGCGGCGGAGCCGCGGCCGCATCCCCTCCCCGCGCTCCTCCCCGCCGCGTGGCTCTCCCTTTCGGCGGCAGTTTTGGCCGTGTCCTTATCTTCCTACTCTCCTCCCTCCTTCTCTATCTCTCTGGCGGGGCTATGGCCGCTTCCGATGCCGACGGGCACCTGGTAAGTCCCCTCCGCGGTGCGGGGAGCGGCTGGTGAGCAGCCCCTGTGCCCGGGGTGAGCCCGACGCGGCTGAGGGGACGGAGGGGCTCGGCAGCGACGGCACCGGGAGGCGAAGGAGGGTGGCGGTCGCACCGTGCGAAGAGGTGGAAGTGCCGCCTGTACCTCGCTGCGGGGCACCGGGCTCTGCCCCTGGCCCGTGCCGGACGCTGGTGGGGGTCGGGCTAGCGGGGCGGATGAAGGCTCCTGCCTCACGCCGTCTAGTTCTCAGAGCTGCCAGACTTTTAGAGCAGTTGTTGTTAAAGGAACTTGTTTTCAGGTGTCACTCTTCCTAGCGCTCCCGTGGCGTATCGCGTATTTCAGGCAATAAGTTGAATCGTACCTACTGAAGAGTTACTTCTGTGTGATGGCCAAGCTGTCAGCTTTATGTCCTGAAGACATTGAGCCCATCCACAGGACAGTGCTGGAGCGTAGCTGCTGTGCCTGTAGGTAGTAGTGGAAAACTCGGAGCTCAGGAAGAGTCAGATTTGGGTGCCCATGGGCGCGTTAATGGCGGGATGTCCACGGGCGCGGCATCCTTCCCAGGAGGTCGGCGTAGCCGCCGGGGCTGGCGGGACCCTCACCCCCTGCATAATCACGCACTGGTTACGGTTTTCTTTGAGTTTTGGAGGGCAAATTTCAGTCACATCTGCAAATCCAGTAGCAAGCTAGTTTCTTGCTTAGATTGCTAGTCTCTAGTCTGGTTCTGCAAAGGTTTATGCAGAGTGGTGCAGGTAGTGTGAGACTTACTTGCTTTGGTACAGCATGGTGATGTGCAGTTTTAATAAAAAATATGTGGTAAATTTAAAAGATTACTTTTTTTTTTTTAGTTTCTGAAAGAATAATTTTTAAATGTTCCACCATCTCAGGCTATGGCTTTTTTCATGCTGTTTTTAATGGGCAAGAAAACTTTATATAAACCAAAATATTTGATGAAGTTATAGAATCTTAGAATGGTTTGGGTTGGAAGGGATCTCAAAAAGATTGGTTCCAACCCTCCTGCTCTGGGCAGGGACAGTTTTCACTAGACCATGTTGCTCAGAGTCCCATCCAATTTAACGAATCTGGAGAAATCCAGACACATCAGTTATATCACCAACCTTCAAAAATGGGGTTGAGGGAAGGAATGAGATGTGGTTTAGGTGCTGTCAATTAGGTGATCAACTACGTGATATTTCTTTTAGAAGTAGTAAGAATGCAGATATCCTGTGGTCAGTTTTGTGGACTTGATTTCTCTGCTTATTTGTTAGACAATAGCAGAGGGACAGGCACCTATGTCCGTGGAAAATTTCAGAAGGAAAAATATGGCTACTGCTTTTCTATTAAGACAATGCTTCAGGTGGAATAGGTTTACACAGTGATTTCTGTGTAAGGAAGGGAGGTGTTGTCCTGAAGGAGTGCTCCCTGCTTGGTAGGCAGCAGCAATTTGAACACTGAGGCAAGCTACTTCTATTTCTTTATTCTGGTTTGTGCAAAGTGGGGTGCTAGGTGATAACCCACAAAATGCTAGCTGCCCAGTCATCAAAACGACATTTATAGATTTTAGCAAACAAGGAAATCAAGGGGCATTGGCTACTAGTTGCATAGTTTTCTTAATTAGTGTTCTACCTTCTGTTGGTTAGTCATTCTCTCATTTGTCATGCTAATTAGTTCACATTGGCAGTTTATCTCTTTTGAGTTGGTGGGTTTCTTGAGTTGGAGGTCACAATCTCCTCCTGCTAAAATTTCCTCAGAGCTGAGTCAGTTGATTTCAGCATAGTTGCTGAGTTGGCTTTGTTAGTTTCTTCCTTATATTGGATGTTCTGCCAAATGTCCTTGTGGCCCATAAATTTTAATTTTTTTGTGTCCACTCTCATTAGTACATCCTTGTCCCCAGGCTTTGTTAACCTCCTCCAGGTCTGAGATCATCGAGGCATGTCAAGCCCTAAGTATTTAGCAAGGCAATTTTGCTGACAAAATAATTTATCTTTCTAACATCTGGACATCAGAAGGAAATAAATTTATTCCTGCGTGGGTTTTTTTTTTGTTTGGAGAGTTACAAATGGCAGTGCAGAGGCTGGGATTTAGGCTGATGACATGAAGGTGAAAGGCCTCCCTTCTCCAGTCATGCTGAGCCTCTTGCACTGGCTTTTGGTGTGGAGGCTGAGTGGTTTGTGTTAGAGGAACTGTCTTCTCCTTGTGGCAATAGAGGTGCTTTGAGTATCAGACTGAGTAGCTAGAGATCTTACATGTGCAGCCATTCTGTCTCAGACGCACTTGTCTTTAAATGGACAGGAAATTACTATTAAAAAGTGATTCTCAGCACTTTTTAATAGTAATTTTCGTCTGGTGGAATGCCTTGAGAAATTTTGTTTTCTGACATGCTTTGAGTGTACTTTTTTTTAATAACCCAAAGATGTCGTATTTTGTCTTTAAGTAGTTCACTTTGCATATGCATTTTCCCTCATTAGTCTAAAATGGAATTATCTAATTAGAGGAATGTAAAATGAGAGTGAGTGCAGTTTAGTGCAGTGCAGTCTCTAAGTCCATTCCAGGAAGTCCTGTGCAAATAAAGAAGAGGATGAGTATATGCCTTGAGGAATATCCATATCCTTGTAGCTGTTAGAATTCTGAGACTTGCTATGCATACCTATTAGAAAAGGTGTCACTTTAATGGGTTTTAAGTGTTAAATTAAAAGATTTCCTACTGTTCACCATGTGCATGTTCACAGGAAACAGTAATGGTTTCCAATTCCATGTGGATTGGAAATATAAGAGAAAGAATAGCGTGGACCAGTCACCATTTCTACTTATGGTATGCAGTGTTTGTTTAAAAATACAGTTAATTTCTATGGATCAAGATGTTTCCATTTAGCCTTATACATTTTAGTGTGCTCACTGCCTTGATGTCATGGTTCTAGATTGCTAGCTGATGTTTGAAAAGGAATGTGCACCTTTAGATATTCCTAATGAAATAGATGTAATGCTGTCTCAGAGTTCTGGTGCATATAATGAGTGCAGATAATGTTTTAGTTGACAGAAATAGTAATTGCAGTTCCAGCTCCTCAGAATGAGTTCTGTTTGGTAATGCACACCTTCCTCTGATTATGCTTTCTATTTTGAATTCTGATGCTTAGATTTTTTTAGTACTTTTTCCTATTTTCAAGGAACAAACCAACTGTGATGTATTTTCTCTCTACAGTTTTCAGTTTACATTTTCAATTGGACTTGTCTACTTTATTTCATTCATGTTTCATAAGGTTGTTTGGTTTGGTGTTTTTTTTTTCCCTTTGTTTTTCTTTTTTCTTTTAAGCCTGCAAATTGTTCTGTAAAGTAAATTTAATTTTTTCCTCAAATCATGGAATAAAGCTCATTTGACAGGTCTTTTTTTTTCAGACTTTGGCTTTTCTTCATTGCATGTGAAATCATAAGGAATGAGTTCTAGCTTTCTAGTAGAATTTTTATTGCCATTGTTAACTGATATTTTAAAATTACTTTTCTGCAGCAAAGTGTTGGCTGTCGAACTTTGTCCTTGTCTGCACATGTTGGGTTTGACAGCTTACCTGACCAACTGATTAGGAAATCCATCAAGCATGGCTTCTGCTTCAACATTCTTTGCATTGGTGAGTAGTGTCTGGGTGCCAAAAGGCTTTAGTGGTATACTCATCTTAGGAAGTGACTGAAATTTAAATCCCATTGTGGTGTTAAATAGTTTCTTTAATGTTAAGCATGAACTGGAATTCCACCCCTTCTCCCAGCTTTGTTTATTTGGGTTTGTATGTAGCATTTTCGTAAACAGTGTGAAGACCAAAAAATGTTGAAAGTGGATGCCAGTCATATATTCATTTATCAGCAGCCTTTTGGATTTTTTTGAGTAAATGGAGCTTACACCTGTAACAAAGAGCTCCAGATTAAAAAAAATTCTGAAATTCAAAGGTGGTATTACTGAAGTGTTTTTATACTTATCAAATGTTTTGCTCAAATATTTTGCCCTTATTCTTAAAAGACCTTTCTTGAATCTCTGGTTTCACAGCTAGCTTCTGAACTTTTAAAAATCTGTAGGAAATTAATTCAGGCTTTTAAAGAAACCAAAGTGTCACGACACTGTTCTGCTCATTACTCGTTAGCTGATAATTTACCTTTATATGTAGGATGAAAATACTAATGAAAATATATTTAGGGTTCACTAAAAGAATGCACAGTTGCACAGTTTTGCTCAGAGAAATCAGTTGAGTTTTTGTGTACACTTTGTGATTATTATGTATTTATTTGATGTGAAAAATGTCTTCTCCATTCCTTCTGTTTAACTTCAGGGGAAACTGGAATTGGGAAGTCAGCCTTGGTGAGCAGTTTGTTTAACACCGATTTTGAGGACTCTCCATCAACACATTTTCTGTCAAGTGTGCGACTTAGAGCCCAGACTTTTGAACTCCAGGAAAGTAATGTTCTTTTGAAGCTGACAGTTGTAAAAACAGTGGGGTTTGGTGACCAGGTGAACAAAGCAGATAGGTAAGTGTCCTCTTGTCACTATGTTATGTTGAAGTTTTGCTCTTAAGTGCAAGTTGATTTTTCTTTGGGCTTTGTAGTAAGGTTGTTTTACATGTGTTGCAAATAGATGGTTAACTGTTTTCCCTGTGTGCCAAAGTAAACACATTGTTCTTCTCATGTAAGGAATTATTTTGTAATTCAGATGAACTATGCCCTTTTCTTTCTTAATCTTTTATAAATGTCTGTAT